AAACTGAAAGGCCTTTCGGAATTCTTTAAGCTTCGACTTCCGGATAATTGGAACGTAAACAGTGTGCCCACACACAAGGTGAAAGGTTGCACACATAGTACTACGTCACCAGCCTCTCTCACTCCCTGCGGCACCGCTAGTGGTTTGAAACATTAAGCCTAATTAACAAACAATATACGATGGGTCTAATCTAGCGTCGAGTATCTCGTCTGCTAGAGTTCGTCAGTTCGCCCACCCACTCAGGGAATAAAATTGTGGAGCGGACCTAAGAAACGAACTGACTTGAGGCTTGAGGGCCGCAGTCCGCTCGCTGAGAGAGTAAAATTGTGGAGCGGACCCAAAAAATGAACTGTCTTGAGGTTCGCAGTTCGTTCTCATGGCCGTCCGTTACCCGCTCGCTCAGACTGAGTCCGCAAGTAACGAACTTGTCTGTCCGCTCGCCCCAACTCTAACACCGCAGTCTCTTTAGGATTGTGGACCTTGAAAGATGTAAATACTTCGTCTTGTGCGTCTTTTCTGCCTTCATAGGTCAGTTTAAGATGTCAAGGTACATTACTTTGTGCTTAGGATGGTAGACTTAGCTTTATGATGAGTGCTGTCGTCACAATCCCTTGTCTGCTTTGTGACTTGTTGGTGGGATTTGAATAATAATAATAATAATAATAAATAGCATTTGTATAGCGCATATCCCCGCTCAACAGCAGGCTCTATGCGCTTTACACTATATAATTACCCCAGCAGACCACAGAACACTCCGAAACATTCTCAGCTTCCCGGAAAGCATACAGTGCAAGCAGCTGATTAAGCGCTCAAACACTAACAAACTGACAAGATCTTTCGCTGTCTATAGCCGGGTACCCATTCCCACCTGGGTGAAGTGAGGAAAATTCGTGTAAAGTGCCTTTCCCAAGGACACAACGTCGGGCCCCTGACGGGATTCGAACCCACGACCTTACGGTTGCAAGTCCGAGAGACTGACCACTAGGCCACCGACGCCACTTTTGAACCAATGTGTTTGCTCATTCATATGTGAGGCAGCGTGGTGGAATCAGGCTCTCGTCAAAATAATCAAAGTGACGAAACTTGTATTATTCCGCAGGTTTGTGAATTTTTATAAAATTTTTGTTTTTTGGCTCAACACCTTTCATGCCCATTAAAGAACTCATTTCTGGGTGGATTTTTCTGAAAAACGTTGATTAAAGGCACAAAAAATGTAAATTTTCAGTTACCACGGACTCTTAAGCTACGGAAATAACTAATCTTTGGCGGCCATTTTTTCACTAATTTTACCTCTGAAAACAGGTGACCCCACCTCCTTCTTTCGCAAATATCTCGACGTGTATTCAAGACAAATGGATATTTTTTTCATCCAAATAAAGACAAGTGAACAAGCTTTAAGGGAATACCAATAACTCTACATGCCCAAAAATTGACGAGAGCCTGATTACACTACGCTGCCTCACATATTATTGCTAGATGCTTCTAGGACATTGTTTCTTATGTTTGTAAAACGTCAAAGTGTCCATATACATTGCAGTTGTTGTTTCCACTGTTTATCAAAGAAAGAGCAAAAGAAGGAAGTCATTACTGATGAACAACTGAAATGATTAATTGTTTTTCTTCTCCCTTCAGAACAAAAATCGTTCTGACCAGGTGAAAGAGGCCAAGAAGACGGTGAAAGCATGGATCGAGAGGGTCAGAGAAAAAGTTGGAAAACCAATGTTGTCGCCAGGAAAAGCTCAAGAAGTAACAGGTGCGTGAAATCAAGCAGTATTAGTTAGTAATTTTTCTTTATTTTTGATTATGGTGAACATCATATAAAACTCTTTTTTTTTTCTTTTTTTTTTTTTTTTGGTAAGTGTTTTACGGCGCTCGCGACTGCATAAGGTCATATGAGCTCGCGGGACACATCTAATATTTTCTGTTGGTAGGAAATTTTGAATTTTGCCCGGGTGGCGGCCGAAGCCTACTCTTATCGATTTTAGACCACCGAGGGATCTTTAACGTGCGCAACTTGCACACGGGCCCTTCAAGATTTTTCGCCCTTGTCTGAGAAGGCTAGGTGTAGATCTTTCCTACCAGAAGATCAGGGGTGTGGCAGAAAGACAGCAGTAAGGAGGATCCAAGGAGTAGCAGTAGAAAGGCT